CCACACGGGAACGAGGCACGGCCCCCCACCCGAGCCTTGAGCACACGCGCTCAGGTGGGGAAGCCAGGCTCAGGCCATCTGTGGGAGTTGTCGGGAACAGGAGGTCGGGCTGTGGAGGGCCAGGGAACCGGGTGGCCAGCCTGGGCGGGATTTGGAGCCCACAGCTGACCACAGGATTCTCTCTGGGGTGGCGAGGATGTCTAAGGTTGCCTGTGTGAAGTCTGCACGGCCCTGTGAACGTGCCAAGCCGCTGACTGCGTGCTGCGGTCCTGTGGTCATGCTGACATGGGGTTGTGAGAGCAGCAGGTTCCAGAGACCGTGCCACCCGCTGTGCACAGTGGGGAGGAGAGGGGTGCCCGCCTGGGCTTGCCCTCCGTGGCTGGCACCTCCCACCGGGTCTGACTGGGCTTTTCCTCCTCGTGCCCACCTCTCGTGGACTCAACACTGTCCTGTGCCCCTGGACCACGCTGGCTTCTGGACGGAGGACAGAGATTCTGGGTGAGACTGTGGGAAGCTGGCCTTGGCCCTCCTATGTGCCAGGAGGAGCGGGTGGGCGGCCCTGACTGTGCCCCTGCAGTAGTCCCATGGGGAGGTGGACAGTCACACATCATCCAAGGACAGTATCAGTCCATGTCCCGAGGGAGTGGGCGGAGAAGGGTGGTGGGGACGAGGCAGTTCTGGAGCCCGGCAGTCCCGTGGCCTGCGGCGTGGTCTTGGTGACTCCTCATCTGTCCTTCCCTAGGCTTGCTGAGTCTGCAGGTGCTGAACGGTGAGTCGCCCGTCTGGGCTTGCTCTGGGTTTGCTCCCGGCCCAGAGGCACAGCACTCCCCTGGAGAGCACGGCCCTCTTGCCGCCCCCACAGCGGCAGCGTGGATGCCCTCACCTTCCCACCATCCCGCAGCCTTAGGAAGCCTAGCTACTGCACGCCCAGCCTCATGCCAGGTGCAAGGGCAGAGCAGGGGACAAACGGACAACCCCCAGCCAGAGAGGGTTGTCTGACCAACATGGTCTAACTAACTAGCATGGTTAACTGACTAACATGGTCTAACCAACATGGTCTAACTAACTAGCATGGTCTAACTAACATGGTCTTACTG